TCAATATTTTCATTATTTATGTATAGTGAGTATCTCATTATGTTTTCCCTCAGTTGTTTGGACTATGACCTCCCATTCTTTAGCAGAAAATACCCATTGTGTAGTATTAATCTTGGGGCTATATAGAACTTTTATTGTGCTAAATAAATATGCTACAGACACAAAAAGTGCAATGATCTTAAAGAAATGCAATATTTTATAAAATTAACAGAGGAAAAAAATTTTAATATTTTGCATAAGTTACCAGACCAGCAAGTAACCAATAATACGTTAAATAATACATATTAAAAAACAAGAATGGCTCTACAGAGACAAGTGTAAGAAGTCTCAATAGACAATGCGTTCAATAACATGTCTGCACATATTAAAAATCCATATCAAAAGTACAGTCTAGTACCTTTTCAAAGAATGTTCTTTGTTTTATAGAGAATCGCTGGCAAGATTTCGCGACAAATGTAATATACCATGTTGTTTTAATGATGTTCCTTCACTTACCCACCCTTTAGTCTAAAAAGTAGAATATTCCACCAGCTGTTTTTCACATTGGCCTACTTCCCCTAAAACAGGACAGCAGCTAATAAGGCCCTTTTCAGACAGGCATTTTGATCACGTCTGCCTGTCAGCTTTTCAGGTGGATCTGATTAAAAGCTCATTGTTAGTCTATGGGCCGCCGGACCTAAACGGACATGTGTCCGTTAACATCTGATTACCCCCAACTCTGTTCAGGTCCAGAAAAATACAGAGTTCCAGTTTGGTGGACCTGACTTTGGTGGATCTGGGGTAATCTGATGTAAACGAACACGTGCGCATTTACATCAGACTCCGCACAGACTTGACATGGGTCCAGTAAGTTCAGTTTTTTCCCTCCATCGCAAGATGAAGGAAAAAAATGAGTGGACACTTTTTTGAACTGCTCCGAACCAGCAGGCTTCTGCGTGAAAGGGGCCTAACTGTACCTGATACTGTCATAAGCTGTAGTGTAGAGGTTCATTTACAAAAGCAAAGAAAATAGGGAAGAAGTGGGGCTGTGTTCCTAGTTACTGAACAGGCTGTGCATTTCAATTAAAGAAAAAATCTGGTTGCTACAGGCATTTGGTTTTGGTGCCTTTTCCCGTGATTTATTTCTGGCAGTTCAGCTCTTGGATGTCTGTGCCTACCCCCTGCAGATATAACACAAAGCAAGCACTTCCCAAAAAAGTGGAAATTGTTGCTGTGGCTTTTGTAAGATCGGCATGGACATTTTCCTTGTATTGTGTGTGTGCTTTGCTTTTAGATCATTTTTTAGTTTTTCAGAGTGAGTGGAGATAACCAAAATAATTTCCCTTATTTCTTGTCCTGCTTTCACAGGCTGTCACAAGTAGGGATGTTCTGAAGTTAGGACCAAACTTTAGCTCTTCCAAACCCAGAAGGAAGCTCCTTCTGCAGCTGCCCAATCAGTTGTAGTTAGGAAATTCCCTGCCTGCAGCTGCACATAAGCAATTGGGTGGGATGCTGTGACATCATTGGCCACATGGCTATGCTTGGTCAATGACATTGACCTTATATGGGCACATTTTAGGTAAATTATGTCAGCACAAGCATCCTGTCCCTTTGTTTATATGCAACGGTGGGGCAGGAAATGCCCTGACCTGCAGGTGATTGGGCAAGTGGCCTTGTGTCGCATCCAGATTCTCAGAGGGGCTCAGGTTTTGACTGGATTCAACCCATATCTGAACTTATCCCTAGTCAAAAGGATGGAAAATTAGGTAAAAGCAGGATTAGGGGCAACAAAAAATTTAACAGAATTATTAACCCTTTTTTCTATGCAGAATTGAAAAAATAGGTTTTGCCTGGGGCTTGACTTCAAAGTGAACCTGTTGCTTCCAAAAATTAAAAAGCAGAGCCTTTTAGAGAACAGAGTTAAAATTCACCTATCCTGCTACCCAACCTGCCCAACTTTTCTCTGTAGCAGAGCTACAGCTTACTGAAGAATCTTCAGGATTCAACACTGTTCTTCTTCAGCAGGGAAGATAATGGGACAAGTGAGTATTAAGTTTGTTCTTTTTCAGACTGATCTTTGTTTATTTTTTTCAGATGTCACAGAGTCATTTTTACTATGCTTACACGTGATCAGTTCTGATATTCTTAAAAGGAGAAGTGGCCACACATCAAGCACAAGGTTTGAATTTATGTACATGTACTTGAGTCTTTTATTTTCTGAAATTAAACTAGGGTCATGTTATGTGGCTATTTTAGATATATGTTATGCTTATTTATTATTTACTCTTGAAGGATAGCTTGGGAATGTTCATAGTAAATAACTTTTTAGCTTTAGAAAAAAATAGAATTTCATTCAGAAGTTAAATTTGATAAAAACATGTATTAGCAGACATAAAACCCGATTTTTGCAGCTGTTTTCATATTTTTATGTAACTCTACTGTTTTGTTCCACGGTGATAAAATATAGGTATTTTCTTCCTTGTCTGCATTTACAGCCATTGTAGTCTCTATTGTTGCTTCTAATTTCCCACAGTGTCAATGTTGGCTTCATTTCAGATACAGTGGGAAACGGGAAATGATCTTCCTTTAGCATTTTATGTTCATTTTAATTCCCCCTTAGTGCTTTAAAAGCATTTTAATATCTGCCTGTTCTCACAAGCAGATTGTATACATTCACAGAACCCTAAAGGGAAACTATAGAATATTTGCAGTGAGTATACGAGCTTAGTTGGTACTTTTATCTGAAGGCAATTTTTGATGAAACAGTTTAAATATTTGTTGTTCCATATTTTTATGATGTTATTTCATATATATTTGTACATTCTCCATTTAGTAGACATCTATATTTCATATAATGGAGTCAGCATTTCTTTTTAACAAATGCTGAGATAAAAACAGTTTAGGGATAAGCTATACAGTGTACTGTTTTCAATCAGTCTGAGCACATTGGTTTTGCTTCTTGCAAACAAGGTATTAAAGCATTAACTTACATTGATGATATTATATTAATCTAATTACATTCACATGTGTACTTAAAAACATTACTAAAATTATAGCTTCCCTTTACAGTGGCAGGTTTTTTTTAAAATGTCTGTGATGTGAGAATGGCTAATTGTGCCCCTCCAATGATCACTCTATCCCTGATTTTATTTATGTATTTATTTATTGAGATAATGGGGTTACATTTTGGAAGCCAGTCATTTACTATGCTTTATCCACAAACAAGCTTCCAAAAACTCCATAGTATATGGGACTTGGCATGGCTCTCAATGACTTGGCAACTTCCCAAGCATTGAAACTGCTCTCCAATCATCCACTCTTCTCTGGTAGGGGACAGTTCCTTTCTGGAGGGCTAGGAACATCTCACGGTAAACATTGCTCTCCATTTCTTTATTTTAATATATGTCCCACTGCTGGTACTGTTATACATTCGAGTAAGAAAACTTTGCAACTTTGTGAGTTGGTCTGATACTTTCTCATATTGAGAGGCAGGATTTAATTTACTTCTTTTATTTTTAAAGAATTATCTAGGATTTTATTCATGGATGATGCCCCGGGGCACACATAAATGTTGAGGTATAGGTGACATGATAAAGGGAATGCACTATGGAATGTAGTATATTACCGGCTGTATATGGTGAGCTATATTACCGTCCACCAATCAAGTACTTGTGTTAAAAGGAGGAGATGGCTGCATGGTACTGGAGCAAAGATGAGTTCTGAGCTGCAAAGAAAAACACTTGATAATGGCCCTAGTCTACAAGTGATTTATGAAACATATGACCCTATATTTTACTTTTTTTTTTACACAACAAGAGGGGTATCCCTTTACTGTAGAAGTGCTAAGCAGAGACACTGCTCATAACTGGTGATGGTGCTCACTGATCATACTTGGGAGGGAATCTTGTCTTATGAGCCAGTTACTGCAAGAATTAATGCTGTTTTATACACATTAATATATTAAACTGTGTGGTATATTGATTGTCTGCTGTAACAGGTGTTAGTCTCTATAAAAGTACAGTAGCAGAATGGCATCAGCAGCGGACTTGATGACACAGTTCCTCATTATGTTGTTAACAGGATTTGTATTGTCCTGAGGGAAGTGTTGTAAAGCACCATAGTATAGAAAGATTCTTTTGTACATTCAGTCTACAATAATAGTAAATTACACTTTCAAGCTTTAGACAGCTCCAATGATTCTCTATAAAAAAAGATCCTTGTTTAGTTTTAGGGTCTATAGGCTGCTACAGTAATTGGCACACAGGGGAGATAGATATGTTAACCACTATTATCCTTCACAAAAGTGATTAATACTTGATAGTATATTACACTGTTACCTGTGGATGAAATATATATTTGTAAGACAATGTAAGTAGCACTGCACCTTTAAGCACCCATTCATTTACCGTATTAACTCTGACATCACAAGGGCAAAATAAATGTAAAATACATTGGTGGTCTGAATTACTTTCAAAGCACATTTTGCATATTTAAGAAAAAACTAAAATACACAGTATTTTCTCATAAATAAAAATGTTCATTTGAGTCACCCTTTTGCCAGCTAATAAAAAAAAATTATTTTAGAGTTTTCAGTTCTTCATCGTTGATACAACCATTTTCCCTGGTGGTCACTTTACATTAGGAGCAAAACATTCCGAAATTAACGCATAGTAAGACATTTTTGACTTTGGTAGCCAGTACCAAAAGTTCAGGAAAAGTCCCTTGTCAATGTAATTTTAAAAAATAAAGATACAATCATAATTATCTTTTAATTTTAAAAATTCTAAAGATGAACAAAAGTAGTGTTTATTTATTTAAGTCTTTTTTTTTTTTTTATAAATAATAAAACTCATGTCTCTTCCCAAAGGGAAGCATAATGCACTTTTGTGGTACCTTTGCCAGCAAATATTTGGGTCACATTAACAAATACAATAAGTCATATTGCATTCTACTCCCCATAAAGAACCATTTTCTGTAAAAAAGAAAAAAAAAGCCTTTATGGTCTTGATCAATGTGCTCCTTAAGACCATATTAATCATAGCTCACATCCAAAATACACACATGGGAAACAGTGAACTCATCTTCAGTAGGGATTTAAAAAGACTGGTCATCAGTAGGGTTTATTTGCCTGTAAAAACAGAAGATATCCTTTGGAAGACACAGAGGAGTTTTTAAACCATCTTGTCCTGTTTTAAGGTAAACTCCCCCTAGCATCAGAGTTGGCATGTCAGGAGTGAGTTCGGTTATAGCCAAAACCTAAATGTTTCTCTAACCATATTTCTGCTAATTGAGCAGCAGATGCAAATGTACTTGCTTTAGAACCCAAGCACATTTTATATTGTTTAGGGTTTAAATTTGGGTCACATTGGACAGGATGAAACACGTGAACTACTCCTGTTTCTTGACTCCGAAAGGCCTTCAGCCCTGAAGACAGAACCTTAGTAAAGAGATCCACATCTTCTAATCCCCAACCTTGAATAGAGGTATCAAATCCGCCAATTTCCAGCAGATCACTTTTATAAATACAGGTAATACCAAAACCGTAGTCCCTCCAAAAGCCGGTTTTCTTTGTAAAAACAAAGTTGCTGTCTGTGGGAGGATTTCCTCCATAGACTACTTTTGGATCATATTGACTGAATACAATTGGGTAATATACTTGCTGTCCTTGAACAGTGTTGTCCCGGCATCTCTGTAGAAAATCTGATGTGAAGATTAAATCTACATCACAAAACAGCAGCAGTGTGTCATTGTCATACTGAGCTGAGCCCTTTTCGAGGCTCAACCCCCTAGAAAAGGGTCCAGACATTGCCATGATGGACATTTCTGCTTGTGGGTACTTAGTTTGGTATTCCGCTATGAGTTCCATGTGCTTATTGGAGTCTGAGTCTTTTTCAGAGTTAAATAAAATAATCAGCAGCTTCACATTCTGCTTTGGAATCAGACAGACTTTCTCATAGTTTTCCATAAATCTTATGAAGATATCATACCTTCCTGTAAGCGGGACAAGAAAATGTATTTTTTTGTTAATGTTTTCTTTCATTTCTTTAGTCACGTGAAGGGCAGAAAACATTTTCAAGGAATTGGAAAAAAATGAAAAGGACTGAGTATCACTATTGATGCTCTGGAGAAAGCTCTGCACATCCAACTCTTCTTCCTCTTTGAAAAATGGCTTACTGAATGATTGCTGTAGGTAAGCATGCCTTCTTACTGGAACGGTTAGCTTTCTACCTTTATGCCTTTTATATAACAGCAACAAATCTAATATATATTCTACTCCATACATGGGATGGATCCTCCGGTATCCATACTGGATTTCTTTGAAATCAATTAACCTTCCTCTTGATTTGGAGTTCTCATTGATCATTTCCATGACTTGCATCACTGTGTCATCCAAAGACACCTTGAGAAGGTTATTTAGACTCTGGCATGGTGGAGCATTTGCAGACATTGAATAAAGATGTTTTCCTGTGAGAAACTCCCATTCAATTACTTCACTTCTTTCCCGTGGCTGAAATCTGTTGAAAGATGGCATCATACCAAGCTGCTGGTCTAGTTTGCTTATCTCTGTGTTACTGAGCTTGCTCATCACAACACTTTCCCTGTGAAGCTGGATAGTGTGAAAGCGTAGTTCTGAAATCTTCCGGCTCAGTATATAATTATGCAGTCGGTACTGGTATGCTGGTCTTTTATTAGGGTGCAATGTTATAGCTGTATGAATTTTGCTGTTGTGCAAATCTTGAATATAACCTTTTCGGTTGTGTTCATAATTTTCATGGAATAGTTGCTGCATCTAGAAAGAGAAGAACAAAGTTATTAGGTTGATACATGGAAATAAGTTTGCATGTCAGATTTTGTTCAAGGTAACGGCAAATAAATAAAACACCTACATGATGTAACCCTCTGCAGTGGGAAATAGGTAAGATACAGCTTATCGTTGTCTATGTAATTTTCTGAGTATAATTATAATCCTACATTCAGAACTTTACATTTAGAAAGAAGACAAATTACCTTATTTAAGGTGACCCTGTCACCAAGTTCAGATAAGGATTTTAGTTTATTACTTAAAACCCAGCACACAAAGGTACATGCAAATTACTTTTTTAATGGATCGCTCTGCTCCTCATGGACCTCTGAATTGACAAGCTGTCCTGCCTGTAAAACTGACAGTTTTTACTCTTGCTAACCCCTCTGCCATATTATACCATACATTCTAATCATGTGAGACGGGTATTCTGTTTATGCAAGAACAAACTGGAAACAGGGGAGAGTTAACATTTGAATTCTGTCTAGGCATCCAATGTGATTTTGAGGCCTTCATTGATCAAAACAACAAGTAAAAAAAAAAAAAAAAAAAAGAAAAAATTTTAAAAAAAAAAAACAAAAAAAAAAAAAAAAAAAAAAAAGGAAAATCATTGATCAAAAAAAAAAGAAAAAAAAAAAAAAAAAAAGGTCAAGATTTCATTGGTTGGAGCCATGAGCTAGTCTAGTCAGATATGGCCAGGACACCCATCTGCCTGAACCTTCAGCTGCAGCAGACATAATGTATTAATTTAGTGGTGGTAATAATAGTGCCACTAAATGAAAGCTTGTTTTATATGGTAGCAGGTATCCCATGTGATAACTTTTTCCAAATATGTTAATCCATCAGCCAGCATTGGGAGCCCGGCAGGAAAGGATTGTCATAATATGGGTCATTGGGACAGTCATTTGTCGGGGCATCATCCATCATGATTGATGTTAGATAAACATTGCTCAACAATGTGATTGGAGTTGGATTTACACCAGGGGATAATGGTTTTTAATTATTTGTATATGTATTTAACAATTTCACAATTTTTTTTGTACATAAATGACAAGGGGTACCATGTACCCCATACTCATTCACATGGGGGAGTGGGTTTTAGCTGCCCCCTTATTCTTATAAGGAAAAAATGGTGTGGGGCCCATTATTCAAGTATAGAACCTGACCGGCCAGGAAAGGGAGGGGTTGTAACCGTGCAGTCAATGAAGTCACCTGGACTCCCGGCCCATTTTTTTTTTTTAATGTCACTTCGGTGGAGTATATCCGTTATTTAAAGCAATTGAGTCTATTTAATGTTGTCTTTTAAGCCACAATACTAGACCTATTCTGCACTGGTATTTTTTTTATTTTATGCATTGCATACATGCCCCACATGGCAGCGCCCAGCTACCCAATGCCCTTCTTGCAAATTTGTAAATTTGTAAAAATGCAAGCTTCAGCTCCTGTATATTTCAATAGGGTTAAGAAATTGCATATTTTAGAATTTGTTCGCAAATCCTCCTGCGAACTGAACCCAGCCAGTTTCTCATCAATAATGACCAGGTAGCGACTATAGCTTTTCAAGTTTACAGACTGACCCTCACTGGTTTCAATAGAGAATGCAAAATGTTTGTAGGTGTATGCACCCCAACAGTCAACCACAGACAGAGATGCAGTGAACCTATTTAGGGAAGCCAGTTCTCAGGTGCAGATGAAAGTATATATTATGCAGCTCCTTTTCAACAAACCTGATATACAAAACTTAAAATAGAAGAAAATAATTGTGTCTTATATCAATTAGTTTAAATTGTGACATGGGTTAGCTTTTTGTTACCAGGACCAGCTAACTGAATGTTTTGCAAATAAACTCCTATGTTTTTATCATTGAACTCCAACAATATTGAAGATGTCACCTTTGCAGTGCCCTCCCTCAGACTGCAAGCGTTAGTTGCTCATTTAGTCTAGGGGGATAAAAAAAAGTTGAAATACTTAACTAATTTCACCCATACACAAGCTTCTAACCAGCTGTAAAGATGAGCAGCTTAAAATATATAAAATACTCTAAAAGATTTGTTGTAAAAGTGTCGTATTTGCTGAGGTTTTGTTTTTTTGCGGGGGGTTTCTCAGCGATAATTTTAGTAACTATGTGAACCCCAGTTACCGATTTAACATGTGTAATTTGTAAATCAACTGATTGTTCAAACATGTTATGGAATTGTCCATACATAATACTATTATGATGTGCTTCTTGGTGCATGCGCTGCATGCAGCCATCTGTGCATTCCATCCACATCTGCACTGTTTATGTAGCAAGCATATATCCATTTACTATGAGCTCTGTGCCAGAACATCCATTAAATCCTCTACAAGTTTGTGTTATCACAGAAAAAAGGTTGCTAATTTAAATAGCTTCCTAATGCATTCCATGATGTCACTATAACACATTTAAGTAACCTTTTAATCACATCAGTGGAAATAAATTGCCTAGGGTCATAAATAGTCACCAAGGTTTAAAATTACCATAAAGGGTTGATATGAGATGTTAGTCTCTGAATGTTTCTATGCTCCTCTTCACCTGAAATGTAAGCAATGGGCATTCAAAGCATGTTTTCCCTTTATCCTCCATGCAAGCTGTGTGCAACAGCACCAACTTATGAGTATAGATGACATCCTTAAACTAATATTCAATGTGGATGTAACAACACATATGGCAAGTGAACTTATTGTCTTACTATTCTACTGTTTTTATTTCACATACATACTGAAATCAGATTTTGAAACAGTTTTTTTGACCAGCTATAGACTCCAACATTATTTTGTTCACGTTCATTTGGGCAGTGCAAGGTGGTAATTGCCAGTCGCAATCTCAATTTTTTTAATGTTTCTTTAGCACCTGCTGATAGCCCTAGCTTATCAGTTTCTGTATGTTACTGAACTGTAGTTAGTGTTTGGCTACTTGTATTTTCTTTATTAAAAAAGACCCTTTAGGTTATCCAATTAAATCTCCCACATCAGAGATGGAAGTCTCCAGTTTGTGATTACAAGAATTAAAAAAGGGTTCACAGAGGTTGATTTACTAAAGGTAAATAGACTGTTCACTTTGCAAGGGAATTTCCCTTAGCTTTGTGAATGTGGCAAAATTTCACTTTGCAAAGAATACCCAATCACATGCAAAGAAAATTTTAAAAGCATGATTTGTGCTTGCACATGATTGGATGATGGAAATCAACAGAGGGAAACTTCAATACAAAAATCCTTTGCAAAGTGAACAGTCTAATTGCCTTTAGTAAATCAACCCCAATTCTTTAAATTTTGCACATGCCTTCTGTGGGAGGCAAATTTGATGAGTGCTACCTAATGCCTTAAAGGAAACCTTCCATGAGAGAACTATGGAGCCTGCATTGCTGACCTGCTTCAGAAAATGTCATGCTGGTATTCAGTACATTTGACCTGGAACACATATATTATTAAGGAATTCTGATTTTTCTCTGACTTTTAATGGCTGTATACATTTTGGGTCAGTGACTCAGAAGTAGGTAGGAAAGAAGCCAGACACAGCCAGGCAACTAGCAGAAGAATGCCAGAAATGGCTCATGGAACACATATTAATTGCATGAGAGGCGTATGTTAAAGTTGACAGCAGTCAGGTACACCGATTAGCAAGTCTTGCTACTGCACAATGAGACTCACTATGCATCCTTGCTTGCATAGCAGCAGTGTGCAATGGAAAATGTTCAGCAATGTGCAAAGAGCTAGGGTTTAAAGTGATTCTGGGCTTGACCAATACCTGGCAAAGCCACAGGCTCACTTTCATGCCCCTCCACATACTTACTTTTCCTTTATTACCCCACCTCTCTGTCCTAGCCACTGTCATTGAAGATAGAAAACCTAAAGAAGCCATAATGAAGTCTGTCACATGCTTCTCCATACTTAAGTATCTAAGTACCAGACATCTTCTTCACTGTGGTTGACTAAATGCAGTGACTTTAAGAATAATTTATTATTTTGTAAATTTTTGAAAAATTGAGTAGTGTCTAGAATGGCAGCAGCAATAAAAGAACAATTACTACAATTACAACAACAGGCATAAAGCTGGGCCAGGAATCAGTATGTATTTCTTCAGTTTCTATAAATCAGATGTAATATGTGAATTTACATATTTAATTTACATTGTTAGTATTCAATTAAATATTCAATTTAGCTTTAGTAAACACAGGGGTCTATTCACTAAGCTGCCGTAGGCAGCCGAGTGAATGACCGACCTAAAGCGAAGTGAGCCGAACGCTGTTCGGCTATTCACTTCAGTCTGGTACGGCTGATCTCAGACGTATATCGGCTGAAATCAGCCGTACATCGGGTGGCTTTCCGTGGCTTCGGGTCGGCCGAACATGCTCAGCATGCTCGGCCGACCCGAAGTGCAGGAGGAGTTCGACTCAGCCGATCCAACATCTGGATTGGCTGAGCCGAACCTCCAGCAGGCTTCTCACTGCTGTTCCGTCTATTCTTATAGATGCCGAACAGCAGTGAGTGAATAGCGGAATGCCGCTGAACGGCATTCGGCTTGGCTGTTCTGTTCGGTCCCGAGGCATATGCCTTCGGCTCGACTAAGCCGCTCGGCTAAGTTTGGGAGCTGCACGGGCTATTGTGAATAGCCCGTACAGCAGCCCTTCGGTTCTGCTGAACGGAAGGGATCCTGGGGCCGAAGCTAGCCAAAGGATCAGCCGAAGCTATGGCTAGATCCTTCGGCTGCTTTGTGAATAGACCCCACAGTGTTCTAAAAGAAGCCACCTTCACATATTAAAACAATGGAAATTATGTTTTCTTTCTTTTACCATAATTGAAATAAACAAGGATAAAAGGAACTAGTTTTGTGTCACAGTAAAACTTAAGGCAATTTCAGGTTTTAATCTAATTTTGTAGCAGAGTGGTTAAACCTCCTTTTTAAGGAAAGAGTTATCAGTTTCTGTAAAACCCTTTTATATATTTGCTGTTATCCCCTAGCTTTGAAA